GAGCCAACGAAGTCTACCAAGAAGAAGCCAGACCAGCCCACGAAGCCCGTGAAGCAGGAGGCCAAAGTCAAGACAGAGCCTGCCTCAGGAGAATGGAAGCATGGGTGGGAGTGTGAGTGGTGCCATGCGCATCCATGTGCATCCATGCGCTCTCCATAAAATCAAACCACACAACCTGTGTTTCCTACGCGGTCTATATAATTGGATTGCACAGGATGTGTATGGATGTGTCAAGTAAATCTAGGTGATCTTAGGGCTGACCTGTGTGGAACAATGGGGATGGCCTGGGGGACTGCCTGGGGGAGACAATGGTTTGCCAGGGACTTTTACTGGTGATTTGGGGGAAGAACTAGGTCGCAGGGTCTGGTTTGCATATTTCAGGGTTTGCAACTGGTATGATCTTATATGCTTCAATTCTATAGAGTTTTCTTCTGATTTGGGTTGGATTTTCAATTTTATAGAGCTATATGTTCATGTTTAGAGACATTGAGTGTTGTTGAAGCTTTGTCGAGGGCCACTTTGGCCTTATAGAATCAGTTCTTGGTGCCATACGTGTTGTATTCTTAAAGAATTGAAGCACCTGAGCCTTAGCAGCCTGGTGTTTCAGCTCGCTGAGGAACACTGTGGAACACCGGTGATGGTGTGGGGGGACACAATGGCACATGTAGGATCATGTAGGTGCGCTATAGGGACTTTTACTGGTGATTTGGGGGGAAGAACTAGGTAACAGGGTCTGGTTTGCATATTTCAGGGTTTGCCACTGGTATGATCTTATATGCTGCAATTCTATAGAGTTTTCTTCTGATTTGGGTTGGATTTTCAATTTTATAGAGCTATATGTTCATGTTTAGAGACATCGAGTGTTGTTGAAGCTTTGTCGAGGGCCACTTTGGCCTTATAGAATCAGTTCTTGGTGCCATACGTGTTGTATTCTTAAAGAATTGAAGCACCTGAGCCTTAGCAGCCTGGTGTTTCAGCTCGCTGAGGAACACTGTGGAACACCGGTGATGGTGTGGGGGGACACAATGGCACATGTAGGATCATGTAGGTGTGCTATAGGGACTTTTACTGGTGATTTGGGGGGAAGAACTAGGTAACAGGGTCTGGTTTGCATATTTCAGGGTTTACCACTGGTATGATCTTATATGCTTCAATTCTATAGAGTTTTCTTCTGATTTGGGTTGGGTTTTCAATTTTATAGAGCAGGTTTCAGTGGACTAGAAGAGATTTGGAGGTGTTTTGTGATGGTGGGAATGTTTGGGGTATGTTGGATGTTCTATTTTTTAGAGGATTTTAGTGCTTTAAGCTCATGCGGTCTGATTTTATAGTGGTTAGATAGTGGATGATATATTGGTGTTTCAGTGATGTTTAATGTGATGGCTGCTTCTCCTTGCGCAGGATCAGAACCATCGGTGCTTGGCAAACTGATCACCAGGTATGCAGACCTGGTTGGTCAGGACAAATTCTGGCTGGATTTGGTGGACGCACAAGTTTTTGCCGCCATGACGGAGAGGTCTTTATCGGTGGTGGACACATCGTCCAGCTATGAACCGAAGCCGGTGAAAGAAACTTGGGGATCCTTTTTGCCAAAGGGCGACCTACCAGGTTTGGCTACTTTTGTGGACCGCACCAAGGGTTGGTGTTTGCTGTCGTGCAATGCCAGATTTGATCCAGAAGGTCCAAGAAACCATTGGCGCCCAGGGATCTTCAAGGAGCAATGCGAGGATTCCGCACAGTATGAGCAGCTCATGGAGGCTGAACGGAACTTGTGTGCCCAGAAGCAACATGACATTCGCAAAAGGCTGGTGGAACTGACCTGTAGCATGGATGAGGACTCCAATATGAATCCCGTCGAGATGCAGCATCGTCAATGTCTTATGGACAATTTGCAGGATGACAAGAAATGGCGGCTAGGCTATGTTTACATATGTTTGCTAGTTTTTGTCAACTGTTGATTTCTGTGGGTTGGTATGGTCTGGTAGCGCGTTGGATTTGCTGGGCTAGTCCAAGCGGAGACTGAGACCATTTGAGGTATAGAAACTATTGGAGCTTTCTCACTAAATGCTACCAAGCTGACATCGCGCCCATCCACGTCCCTGCTGACGGCAATTGCATGATTTGGTCACTGAAAGTCTTATACCAAGGTATGCCACAGGGAGGTGATTGTGAGAGTGAACGTGCCCATGAAGAGATGCACTTGATTCGGGATATGGTCAGGAGTGCCTGGTTAGCTCAATCGGAAAACCCGTTTTGGCAGACATGCTTTCGGTATTTGTGTAAAGAATATGCCCAGGAAGAGCTTTTGAAGACTTCCCCAGAAGATTCCAAACAGATGAGAACTCCTCCAAAGGGGGCCAAAGCAGCCGAAGACCAATTGAATCAGGATGAGCCAATTTCCAAATTGCTCACTCCTCCACGTCCTGAGCGCAAGGCCATTCCTCAGGCTGGCGATGGCAAGCCGGTCCCTTTGACAAAGAGGAGCTTTCCAGATTCTCCCGCTTTGATGGCACCAGGTCCAAAGAAAAAGGGAAAGATCAATAAATTAGTGGAGCCTCTTTGCCCTGATATACAAGAAGCACATGATGACATGGAAATGGCAGTTGACGTGAATGATGTCAACGTAGAAAATGTTGATCAAGACATGATGGAGAGCGACGAGGACAACAGAAGAACAGCACGTCGGGCTACGCATCAAAGACGCTTCAAATCACGATGCAAAACCGATCGGGAACTGCAAATGGAAGATCTTTGGGCTACCTGGCCTCTCAGAAGGTTACCTACTACAGCTTCTTGGCGGACCACCGCAAAGATTGTGCTGTGAAAAAGGCTGGATCTTGTTCAGATGGAGGTTGGCAGCAATTCAAAGTTCGATTGCTGGAGAACAAAGCGCCTCAGTGTTCAGTTTGCCTTGCCATGGTCAACAACCATGACCTGACCAATGAAAAGATCCTTGAGTCTCTAGATCAAGAAGCCCAGAAAAGATCTGAGAAACCAAACAAGAATCCTACGAAGGGAGATGAGCAGACAACTCCGGCAGCAGATACTCCAGCAGATGTTCCAGCAGTTGATCCAGATGATCCTGAACTCGATGAGTTGGAAAAGTGCAAGAGGTATATTCGTTCCCATGCTCCAATCATTGAATTGGTTGAAGCAGGTGCTTTCTACCGTTACAAGTGTACTGTTTGCACATCGAGGACACAACCGTATGGAAAGATCAACAAACTGGGCCGTAACAGATTGAAAGATTGGACCTTCTTTGTCGGTCAGCGCATTGATGCACCAAGTCATCAATCAAAGATGAAAAAGTACCAGGAGAGAAAAGACACCGAGGCAGCTGAGGCAGCGGCAAAAGAGACAAGTGCACCGCTTGCAGATTGCAATGGCTTTTGTCTGACCCGCTCCGATTCGCTGTTGCACATGCACAAGGATGAGTTCAGGCTGTGGGTCACTCATTGCAATTTTGAAGGTGCAAGATTTAGACACACGTACTTTTGCGACATGAGCTCTGGCGAATGGTGGATTCGTCACCGAGATTGTTGCAAGAAGATCCGGAAGAAGAGTGACTCGGAGGAGGAGACCATATGTGAACAGTGCCGCACACTTGGAAAGCCAGATAAAGTGCAGCGCAACGTTGTGCGCTTTTGCCTCAAGTACCAAGCCGGCAAGCTACTCCACAGACGCCTGTTCGCATCTCCTGATGACATCAGTGCCTTGATTTCTGAGGTTGACAATAGTGTCTGGGGTCAGCGCCACCATCAGATCTGGCAGAAAATCAAGGATTTGAAGCCTGTAGAACTCCAGCAATTTGTACGAAAGTCATTCTCATGCATCCCATCCAGTGAACGAAGCGAGGTCCTCAGCAACTTCATTGCTACTACCATCAAACCTGCTTTGGAAGTGCATGCCACAGCTTTGAGTCAGAACTTGCTGGCCCTATCGAACCGGTACGTGCAGGCACTGGAATGTGAGCAACTGAACGAGCTGGAGACATTAAACGTTCAGATTGCGCAGGCCGCAGTTTCAGGCCGTCTGGATAAGAACCCCATGATGCAAGGCCTATTGGTGCAGTGTCTCAACAAGATTGAGAAACAAGAGCGTAGAGTTCATAGCAATCGTGGCAGGCCGGCATCTTCTTGCTCTGATACTGGGCTCCGCTTAGTGGAAGATGCCGCGATGAATCTGGCAATTGCTGGAGGTAATCGGCAGCTATGTGAACAGCTCGGCCAGAAGGTGACGCCGCCTAGAATCCGATTGGAGGACCTGGAATCGCATTCATTGCCAAATCCGGCACTAGCCCTCATGAAGGTGAACGAGGAACAGTTGGAACAAAACTTCACCCTCGTGGACGCCAAGTTTCCGCGGAGTGACAAAATGCCGGCAAGGAGGCTGTTGTGTGCGGTTGATTGCACCTATTTGCTCAGATCACTCTGTCAGGTCAAAATGAAAGATGAAGCTGGCTTGGTAGGTGCACCTTGGAGACCATCTGATGAAACCAAGGCCTTCCTTCCTCTCTCAGAAGGCGGACGCAAGTCTGAGAAGGCATGTGTCATGCTGGAATGCGTGACATGGGATCCTTGTAGTCCCCACAACAAGGAAACGTACTCAGTCGCAGCTATGCCGATGGCACTATCGGCGCCTGCAATGGAGAATCAACCGCTCACCCACTCTGGAAACGTGGTGCCTTGAATATCCTTCAATCCACCTTTTTTGAATTCACCTCCATTTGATTCCATTTGATTCATGTCTTTTCTATAAAATCCAAGAGTGGACTGAACATTGATTTCCAACAGAATCTCAGCAGGTTGTACCACGCTTTCACTGTCAAACCCTTGGATTCTATAGAGGTGGAATTTTCTAGATATGTTGAGGTCTCCAATTTTATAGTGGGTTAATGTGGGTGAGTGGTTATGGGATTCTCTGGGTAGCTGAATCATGCTAATTCAAGCTAAGGAAATGCTGCAAGTTGTTGGTCGGCTGATGAAATCTAGCAGCTGGCTGATCAAAGGTTTGTGCTTCGACGCCCACAGCACTCACAGGTACATGAGGGAGGCTTTGTTTGGTTCCTTTGAGACACTAGATCAGAAGGCCCTAAAGGACTTTGAATTTTGGCAAGATTGTGAGTACGAGAACGTGCCGCAACATGCCTTGCCAAGATTGCCCCTACGCATATGCAAGGTTGAAGGAGAGTCTGTTTGGGCGCTTCCTGGCCCGTGTAACTTGGAGGTTGAAAGAAAGTTTTTTTGGGGACTTCATGGGACTGTGGAATATTTCTGCGTGATTTTGATTGATTTGAATTGATTTGATATGATTTGATGGACTTCTTTTCGTTGAACTGTTGGACATGTCAGGTCACAGCTCAAAATGTGCTGCAGGTCAGGTCTGCTCCCCATTACGTACGATCATGTTCGGCAAATATGCCTGTGATACTTCGGCTGCTCGCAAGTATGGGTTGCCTCCTGCAGTATACAGGAGAGCAGAGCCTATGTCTGATCAGATGAATGCAGCTCTATGGAATCCATTTTGGGTAGTAGATTCCCCAGCAACGTGTCTGAGTTACTGTATGTTTTATTTTTTTAAGTTTTTTCAATTTTTCAGTTATATAATTCATTATATTTCAATATATTTCATTATCCTTCTGTCGACGCTTTTTGTGGAGATTTCCAGGACGTTGCAATCGATGCTGCCAAAGTACCGTGGCCGCTGCGGGGCTTTGTGATCATGAATCTTTGTGTGGCACTGACTACAGCTCCGTCTGGGCACAAGACCATGCGAGTGGAAGACAGAGTTCAGAATTGCATGACAGGGTTCATTCTCCTGGACCTCTTTCGCATCACGTCAGATCAAGAGTGCAATCGGCGAGGATTGCCCAGAGGGTCATTGTTCCTTGCGCCGGAGACCATCCGGAATCTACAAGCCTCCGCGATGGGTGTGATTTCGGTGTGTCTTACAAAAGACTCTCGCGGCTGTCCATGGTCATCTGGACATTCCAGATTGTCGGAGTTGTCAGTAGAGCAGCACTTTGGACGATTGAGAGTCCAAAGCACGTCCGCGCAACTCACAGTGCGGTCTTACTGGACAGCATCGGCGCGGGATATGCTCAGAACCAACAGCAAGAGGAAGGAGGGGCAGCCGACCTTGGCTGTGGTAGAGCCCATCAGCCAGTGTGACTTTTACACTGTGAGTGAAGAAGCCTTGAAATCTGCTCTGCGGCTGACTGCGTGGTGCACTGGGTTGACTTCAGCGTCACTCATGGAGATGTATGTCAGTTGGTGCGCCAACAAATCCTTTGTGCATGATGGACCTTTGCTCGGGGATGAGCAGGAGTTTGAGGAGGATGACCAGACCAGACGTCAATGCTGGTCAAGGACAAGAAACAAGAGAATCAGGCCTTCTTCAACCACATCCAGTCGGAGGCAGCGATGGAGCCTGACATTCCGGATGATGACCCAGAAGTTGATCTAGTTGGAATCGATTTGGGCGCCGTTCCAGACAAAGACGATCTCCAGAATCTCTTCCAGGCAACACTTGCAGCTGATGATCACCCCGCAGATCAGGAGCAGCCAGGCGAGGCAACGACATCGCCCCAAAACCTGCACCACGCACTGTGGTGCTTGGGTCCAGAAGCAACAGAGATTCAAGTCTTTGATTCGCTGTGGAGACTCCTTATGTATCTGAGATATTGGAAGGGAGGAGCGGATCGTCAGTGGATCTCAAATCCACGGCAGTGCAGAAGAAGCAGTTCCAAATTGAACTGGTATCAGTTTCTGGACTGTTAAATGTTCAGTAGCTTTAGATTATATGTTTTCATATGTTTACAGAGTAATACATAGTATATAATATTGCTTATTACTTTTTGCTCTATAGAATCAGTTTTTTGGGGGAATTGTAGATTGGGATAGTCTTCAGGTAGATTCATAGAGTATTTTTGGGGAAAAACATGATTTTATAGAGGACTGGAGTATCTGGAAGTCATCCTTTGCATTCCTTTGCCATCTCCTGTTTGGCGCTCACTGTTCTATAGAATCAGGTTTTTAGAGTGTATAGGTTGGGAAAGTAATCACTTTGATATGTAGCAGCATTTCTGAATGTTTAACCCTTTGATTTTCTAGAGGTCCTGAAATAGGATAATGTTGTGTGGTGTGATTTCATAGAGGATATCACAATATATCACAGGAGATATGAGATATTTAATATGTTTTGCCTCGTCTGTTCTTGGCTGATTTGCTTTTGGAGGTTCAATGAAATGAAGCCCAAACAAATGAGAGAGGAGGAGGAGACAGAGTCCTTCAAACAACGATCGGGTAGGCTTGCAAAGTGGCGGGAGATGGCAGAGCAAGCAGCCCAGGAGCGGAAGGCAATGGTGCGGGTGGATTGCGGAATTGAGACGCTCGTTCTCTCTCGTCTGATCTATTTTTCTTTGAGGTTATATGAAGCATTATGAGGCTATATTTTACCATATTTTACTAGTATACTCGGCTCTTCAGTATTTTCCTTTGTGAGCCGAGGTGTGGTACTATTCTGGTGGCCCTGACTCCACACAAACGTGGAACCGAGAGAGAAGCATGTGTGTCAATGGTGATGTCCGTTTGGATGTCCGTGAAGAAGCCCAAACTGAGCACTTCGCCCATTCCTTTGGAGCATGTGGTGGCCTTGAGGGTTGCAACTATGACTCCGAATGCAGTTGGAGGAGATCAGCATTGGTCTTGCGACGCTGAATGCAAAACCTGGGTGATTCGACCACAATCTGTGGTTGGAGTGTTGGGCATCGAAAGCTGCGAGAAGGGCCTTGAACACACCTCAGTGAAGTTGACAGAAGATTCAGTGGAATTGTTGGAGCAACTTCGCGCAGTTCAGGACTGGTGGCCACATTTCGATGAGCAGCAGGCCGGCGGCGGCAAAAAGCCGGGAAAGAAAGCTGTGAAGCGAAATCATCTTGGTCTATTTGTTCAACGGCAGGGAAGGCCAAAACGCTTCATAGACAAGGTCAAGGCGAAGGCCAAAGCCAAACAGAAGGCTAAGACGCAAAAAGCCTCCAGCAGCAAGACATCTGCACAGGCCAAGGCCAAGGCCAAGTTGCGGAAGGAAGCCAAGAAAGCTGCTCCAATTGCTGAGATTCCGGCAAACTACAAGCGGACCGGTGTTGGCATTCCTTTGGTCAAACAGATGATGGAGAAGGCGTGTCATCTGGACAAGATGAAGTTCCCGGGCAATCTTGTCTTTACCCTGGATTCTGAGCAGTGTCGGCTGACTCTACCCAACTGCCACGGTGTTCGTTGGTGCAAGATCCGTGATGCAGCGCATTCCTTCTTCAAGCATTCGCTTTTTGAAATGATATAGATTCCGCAGTCATTTCATGTCATGTCTATCGTTTTGTTTTGCTTCAAGGTTCAATCATAGATTCCGCAGTCATTTCATGTCATGTCTATCGTTTTGTTTTGCTTCAAGGTTCAATCACGTTGAAGGTCATTTGATATCCTTTGAATTCCTGAAATGTCCTTTTCACATCTCAGGTTTCCAACCCTTTCAGCGAGCAAATGGTCCCAGAAGGTCTCCTCAAGATTCGCTGACATCATGGTCGGCTTGGAGAAATCTCCTCCTTGCAGGAAGCGGTGGTTTCATCTCATCAAGGACATTGCGGAGTATGTTGCCACTGTTGACACCTCTACCTCCTGTGCGGCGACGGCGGCCCAGTGAGGTTGAGATGGCTTGAGAATTCCAGTGCGATTTGAACATTTGGGATTCCATCGGAATCTGAATCTGTTGGGGGCTTGCCTACCAGATGAAACACAGAGATTTGGAATGATTTAGATAGATTTAGAATGGATTCTCATGTATTCTAATGGTCTCTATACTATTCCATACTATTCCGTTCTTTTTTGTGTTGTCAAGTCTGGTAGATGTCTGGTGGTTTCACCAAAGACTAAACAGGGGCACAGCAAAGCAACGGAAGGAAAAGACGCGTGTTAGATGCTGAAGTTTACTACTATTCTGTGGGCTCTATAAAATCAAACAGCGTGACTGCCGTTTAAAAGCTACCACTTTTATATAAAATTTAGGCTAGCTATCCTGGTTAACACTGCTTATAGACATTTCAGAAATATAGGCGGCAATCTCTGGAGTCATAGCACCAAATTTTATAGAGCCCACTTTCAGGAAGAAACACGTTAAGTCGGTGAGTTGGAGCGATGATTCTATAAAGATTCTGGGCCTCCTGTGATTTGGCTCCATTAGTGTTTTTTTGATTCTATAGAGGCTGCGCTGATTTTTGCAGTCTGGCAATCTGATTCTATAGATGTCTCTTGCTTTTGCAGGTCATGCAGTCCCAATTTATATCTATAAAATTGACTGCCATGACTACCCCCCTTAATTCCTAGGAGGATGTCGTGGCCATCCCCCCCTCCCTGTGCTACGAGGGCCTGAAAGAAGGATCCTGCGCTACGAGGGCCTTCAAGGGAGTCGGAATAGTAGAAAAGTAACAGTAGTCGTGGCCATCCCCCCTCCTTGTGCTACGAGGGCCTTAAAGAAGGATCCTGTGCTACGAAGGCCATAAAGAAGCAGCCTGTGCTATGAGGAAGTAGTAGAAAAGTAATAGTAGTCGTGGCCATCCCCCCCTCTCTGTGCTACGAGGGCCTGAAAGAAGGATCCTGTGCTACGAGGGCCTTCAAGGGAGTCGGAATAGTAGAAAAGTAATAGTAGTCGTGGCCATCCCCCCTCCCTGTGCTACGAGGGCCTGAAAGAAGGATGTGCTACGAGGGCCTTCAAGGGAGTCGGAATAAGGCTGACGGTATGTTTCGTGTTATTTTTGCTTCTTCACTACTCCTCCTCCTCATCTCAGGCCTCATACAGTCGCCTCAGAATCGTGCAGGGGGGGGGGGGGGGGGCCCTCGGTGCTGTGCAGTGGATTTGTTGTCCGTGGAAAGGACACGGTTTCCAGAGAGATCCAGGCAGATGCTCGGACACGAGTCGTGCAGTAGTGCGGCGAGAGCACGCGGGCGTCACGCGTCAGTCATCGGCGCCGGTTCTATTTCATATCCCAACGAACCACAGGAGGGGCGGGGCCCACGAGAGCAATGCGCCGGGCCGTGGCTGAACGAGGGGGTGGCGAGTACGACCACGACCCGCATGGGGCAACCTTAAAGAGCAGGGGGAGGGCCGACGGACCGACCGCATTCGGTTGTGGGAGCGGCGCACGGTGAGAGCAAGCGGGCGCTGCCCGTGGGAACCACACGGTGGCCCGAGAGGTGAAGGCGGACGATGTGCGGACACGAGTCGAATGCAGCAGCTTGCCACTGTCACGCTGATGAGGCAGGCGCAGGGAAGGTGACGAGGTGCAGATTTTGTGGCGCACCCACCCCTTTCGGCGCTGTATGTGTAAGTTCGTGTTCAGAAACTAACCGCAACGGGTTACGTACGGTTGCACTGAGGTGTCACTTCGCGTTGCAGTCTTTTGGTTCGTCAGGCGGGGTACCTGGTGTCCAGATGTCTCTGTTCTCGCTGTCCGAGCAGATGTGGTTGGTCGACATTCTGTCGTGGCTCCCGCTCTCCGTCGGCGTGGTCTTCGCGCTCGCTTCGTCGTCCACGGCGCGGCTGCTGCGGCCCTTGGATGCGCTGCTAGACGAGCTTACCCGTGTTGCGGAGAACCACCTGGCCGCCTTGGAGGAGCGCGGTGTGGTTCTCCCCATGGCTCGCCAGCCAGTGCGGCCTGTGTACGTCACTTGGCGCCACATGGCTTGCGCACGTTGTGTCGCCGCTACTATGGCCTGAGCCTGGCGAACGCCGGCGACCTCGGGGGGATTCTGACGTTGGCAGGTACCAGTTTCACCCGCTGGCCTGTGGCGATGAACTGCATCGGCCCTGCAGCGGATCCGACGCTCACCGCCGCCATGCACTGGTTGCAAAGCAGCCTCTGCATGCAGCTGTGGCTCCCGGATGTGCGAATTCCGTCCATACCGGCGGCTTGGAGCCACCCCTTTCCGTTCGGAACGCCCGTGGCCGGGGCAGAGGGTGATGTGTTGGCCCTCTACTTGGGTGAGCGGCCTTGTTGCTATGTAGTTGGTAGACTTGGCTGACTTGCATAACTCAGTTGGTTGATTTAGTAAGTGCTCCGTGGGGCAACATGCTATGTTGTCCTTGGCCTAGTTGTTGCATGTAGCCCAAGTATGCCTGGCAGACTTGCCTAAGTGTGCCCGGCCAATTTACGAAGTTTGCTAAGTAGGCCGGGGCGGACTTGCTAAGTAGGCCGGGGCAGACTTGCTAA